TGGTTCATCTTGATTTGTGTTGGTAAGGGAGTTTGGTGTTTCATTGCAAGAGTTGTTTAGCATGAACACTTTGATATGTTCGGTAAGGGGGATTGGCTTTAATTGTTTTGCAAATTGCTATGCACTGTTTGCTAATTGTTTTCTTCTTGTATGTTCCTGGTATTTACATCGTCATATCATTGCTTGTGTGATTTATGATCTTGCTTTTATTGTTTGAGAGTTGTTTTTCATGAGTCTTAGTTTTCATTTATTCATGATTTCCATCTCATGTTTCAAGATAATCGTGTCATATATCTATTACTTTTTCATATACTCTTGTGGGACTAATAGTTGTTTTGGAGATTGTGGCACTAATAACTGTTTTACAGATCAAGACCTTGAGAAAGAAGTTGGTTTTTGTTGGCTGTAATGGGTTGGGGTGTTTAGGATTTTATTTGTTAAGTGTGTTTTGTCACGACATTGTCAAAGGGGGAGATTGTTAGGTTTTATTCTTGGCAACCCCGTTTGACAAAACTCTTTTCAGTTGTATTTATTTTCGCACTTTTATTTCAGTGAGGCTATGAGTGCTTAGATGCGAATCCAACCCGAATTGTGCCTTTTAGAGAAGTTTGTGATGCTAATGCTTTCAAGATTGCCACTTCGCTCATTATGATGGGGATCGAGTTGCCCGGTCAACTCGCGGGGGTCTAGGGGACAGCGCCCCTTGGCGGGTCCGGGGCAGCGCCACGGCGGGGTCGAGGGGCAGCGCCCCTGAAGCAAAATGCAAAAATGCATTCCAAGTTGTCTGTCCGCTTGAGCGAACTTTACCCCGCTCGAGCGGAGAATCCCTAGTTCTAGAAGTTTTGGTCGCCTGTAAAAGTACTGAGCTGTGTGATTCGCGCTCGAGCGGGTTCTCTAGCGCTCGAGCAGACCTCTGTTATATCACGCGCATATTTTGCAGAAGCCGCTCGAGCGAGCTATTGGGCGCTGAAGCAGAGATCGCGGGACAGATTCTATAAATTCGCGTGTTGGGTCAGTTTTTAGGATTACTACTCCAGATCTTCTTTTTGGGTTCTAGGGTTTATATCCGGGGATACTTTGTGAGTTTTCTTTGATGTTTTAATTGAGTATTCAACTCATGTTTTAAAGAGTATACATCAAAGGTTTTGTTTGTTCTACAAAAGAGAGAGTTGTTCTTCGGTGGATTCTAAAGAATTCGAGCCTGAAGCTTTGGTGGATTACGGGGTGGCTCATTGTAAATACAATTCCGAGGTGAAGACGGGTTGGAAGAGGCACATAGAGGTTGGTTCAATTAGGCGTGGATTCGCTAGGTAATTGAAAGTATACCTGTGCAATTCCTTTAAATCTTCTTAGTGGATTGTTTTGTGGCTGTTGCCCGTGGTTTTTTAATCACAGTTGGAGGTGTCCAATTGTGGTTTTTTCCACGTTAAAATCGTTGGGTTGATTTTTCTTGATTGTTTGATTGGGATTGTTATATACTGCTTAAAATTGTTACATAATCACAAATCAATATCTAGGGGATTTCTAGTTTTTTCATAAATGTTATTTTTTGTTTGAATTTTCAAATCATAATACCAAATCAATTTTAAAATATATTTTGAAAACATGTTTGGTTAAGCAGATAATTTTTGAATTTTTGGTCTACCCAGTCATCCGTCCAGACATCCTCCCGAATGTCCAGCCGGTTGACCGGAACAGTACAATTTTTTTTTTTTTTTTGCAATTGCCAATGCCATATGTTATTTGAAAAAAAAAATTATATTTGTTTTTGATATTTTTCAAATATACAAATTATTTTTTAGACCAAAATAACAAATTATTTTTTTGAATTGAATTTTAAAAAGAGTTTAGTTATAAATTTTGAATAAAATTTTTAATAGAGTTTTGTGTTGTGTGTTTAGTTATGAGTTGGAAGTTTTTGAATTAGATTTGAAAATTCTTTTCAAAATTTATAACCAAACAATTTTTCTCACTTCATATGTCACATTAAAAATTCAAAACTCAAAGCCAAACAAATTTTCTCTTTTCAAATCATAATTTCAAAACTTACAAACTCAAAATACAACTCAAATCATAATTCTAAAACTCTGTCAAACACTACCATTGTTTTACCTCCATATATCTCAATATTTTCTTCTTACTTCTCTTTTTCATTGTTTCATACAATTTTTAAAATAGTGGTGCTATTAATACCCCATCTATTATTTTGATCTCCTATTTCTTTGGACCTCACTTATAAATTTTGAAACTCTTAAAAATTATTTTCTCTCCCAAATAATACTAAAACTATCTTTGTGAAAACATTTTACTCATTCAATTGAATGCACACCCCTCCCACATTCCAAAAAAAATTTCTTACAAAGACATTAACAAAACCCACGAAGAAGAAGAAGAGCTAAGTGTGATTATTGTCTCTCTCTCTCTACCGCCTCATCCTTTTCTTCGGTGATTAATGTTCGGTTACCATTTCCTGAACAAATAAACAATGTTCGAGCCTATGTTCCCGAATTTCGGTCATATGTTTGAGAGTTCAATTCTAAAAAAATGACGAACAAATTTTATTATTTTTGTTATTTTTTTAAAGAAACTTACCATTACAAGGCCAATTTCTTTTGAGCTAAGAACACCATCAAAGTTATTAATTTTCTCTAAACTTTTATTGTCGTACTTCTCTCGTCTCATGGAATTGTGGTTGATGAAAAAACTTCCACTTATTATTATTGTTAGAGAAGTGTGGGTAATTAAATGGTTGCTACCGTTATCGTCGAAATATTGTCGCCAAAGAATTTTTAGGGTTTTGAGGGTGAGTAAGTTTTGAAGGTGAGATTTGAAGAAAATGGATAGATGGTGATGGAGGTGACTGCTCTCATAAATTCTAATTCATGGTAGGTGTTTGGGAAATTGTTATTTTAATAGGTTTTTTTAGTTTTTGATTATTTTAGGAGTTTAAAATTTTTGTGTATGGGAAGATAGTTGGGTTTTTTTGTAGTTGCATGTGATGTTTGTGAGAGAAAAAGTGAAATAATTATGGGTTTAATGTAACATTTTGTCTGGATTTTTTTTTTTTTTCTTTTTTGGTTTTTTAACCAATTTTTTCTTTTAGTGTTTTTTTAGCCAAAAAAAAAACACTTTCCAAACACCACCTGTTGAAATTGATGTATTATTGATTGATATATATTGATTGATATAATGTTATATTTATTACAATGATTCATGATTCCTATATATAGAAGAGGGTGAGTGTGTAGTAGGTAAGGAGTAGGTGAAGTGGAGGTGGTAGTGGTGTAGTGGGTTAGGTTTAGTGGAGTAGGTGAGGTGGTAGTGGTGTAGTGGGTTAGGTTTAGTGGAGTAGGTGAGATGGTAGTGGTGTAGTGGGTTAGGTTTAGTGGAGTAGGTGAGATGGTAGTGGTGTAGTGGGTTAGGTTTAGTGGAGTAGGTGAGATGGTAGTGGTGTAGTGGGTTAGGTTTAGTGGAGTAGGTGAGATGGTAGTGGTGTAGTGGGTTAGGTTTAGTGGAGTAGGTGAGATGGTAGTGGTGTAGTGGGTTAGGTTTAGTGGAGTAGGTGAGATGGTAGTGGTGTAGTGGGTTAGGTTTAGTGGAGTAGGTGAGATGGTAGTGGTGTAGTGGGTTAGGTTTAGTGGAGTAGGTGAGATGGTAGTGGTGTAGTGGGTTAGGTTTAGTGGAGTAGGTGAGATGGTAGTGGTGTAGTGGGTTAGGTTTAGTGGAGTAGGTGAGATGGTAGTGGTGTAGTGGGTTAGGTTTAGTGGAGTAGGTGAGATGGTAGTGGTGTAGTGGGTTAGGTTTAGTGGAGTAGGTGAGATGGTAGTGGTGTAGTGGGTTAGGTTTAGTGGAGTAGGTGAGATGGTAGTGGTGTAGTGGGTTAGGTTTAGTGGAGTAGGTGAGATGGTAGTGGTGTAGTGGGTTAGGTTTAGTGGAGTAGGTGAGATGGTAGTGGTGTAGTGGGTTAGGTTTAGTGGAGTAGGTGAGATGGTAGTGGTGTAGTGGGTTAGGTTTAGTGGAGTAGGTGAGATGGTAGTGGTGTAGTGGGTTAGGTTTAGTGGAGTAGGTGAGATGGTAGTGGTGTAGTGGGTTAGGTTTAGTGGAGTAGGTGAGATGGTAGTGGTGTAGTGGGTTAGGTTTAGTGGAGTAGGTGAGATGGTAGTGGTGTAGTGGGTTAGGTTTAGTGGAGTAGGTGAGATGGTAGTGGTGTAGTGGGTTAGGTTTAGTGGAGTAGGTGAGATGGTAGTGGTGTAGTGGGTTAGGTTTAGTGGAGTAGGTGAGATGGTAGTGGTGTAGTGGGTTAGGTTTAGTGGAGTAGGTGAGATGGTAGTGGTGTAGTGGGTTAGGTTTAGTGGAGTAGGTGAGATGGTAGTGGTGTAGTGGGTTAGGTTTAGTGGAGTAGGTGAGATGGTAGTGGTGTAGTGGGTTAGGTTTAGTGGAGTAGGTGAGATGGTAGTGGTGTAGTGGGTTAGGTTTAGTGGAGTAGGTGAGATGGTAGTGGTGTAGTGGGTTAGGTTTAGTGGAGTAGGTGAGATGGTAGTGGTGTAGTGGGTTAGGTTTAGTGGAGTAGGTGAGATGGTAGTGGTGTAGTGGGTTAGGTTTAGTGGAGTAGGTGAGATGGTAGTGGTGTAGTGGGTTAGGTTTAGTGGAGTAGGTGAGATGGTAGTGGTGTAGTGGGTTAGGTTTAGTGGAGTAGGTGAGATGGTAGTGGTGTAGTGGGTTAGGTTTAGTGGAGTAGGTGAGATGGTAGTGGTGTAGTGGGTTAGGTTTAGTGGAGTAGGTGAGATGGTAGTGGTGTAGTGGGTTAGGTTTAGTGGAGTAGGTGAGATGGTAGTGGTGTAGTGGGTTAGGTTTAGTGGAGTAGGTGAGATGGTAGTGGTGTAGTGGGTTAGGTTTAGTGGAGTAGGTGAGATGGTAGTGGTGTAGTGGGTTAGGTTTAGTGGAGTAGGTGAGATGGTAGTGGTGTAGTGGGTTAGGTTTAGTGGAGTAGGTGAATGGTTGGGTCGGTGCGTGGTGGTAAAGGAAGTAAAAGAAAAAATAAAGAAATAAGAAAAGAAAAGTAAAATGGGATTTGTGATGCCGAGGGAGATTTCTCAATTTGTTCAGCTCATCTTTCTGGATGCCCCAACCCAATTTCCCATCTGGAGATCCCCAATCCGAAAGGTTAGAAGGCATTACATTTGCAGAAGAAGCAGGCAAAGGAAGCCCAGAGAGATGGTTCACAGTGCTTCTATCGATGAAGCTCTGGCTCCGCTTTGCAAAGGCAGCTGCCCTTGAACTCAGAACTGCTGCAGCTGCTGAAGCCCCAGATGGGTCAATCCCCATTGATGACGATGCACGGGCTGGTGAGGATGAAAGGCTTGTAGGATAGGTCGAGCGGAGCTGCTGGTTCATGTTCTGGCGCATCTACATTCCAGTTGGAGACTGCGCTTGGGATGCGGAGGCATCTAGAGAAAGTCCCTGGAACTAAGGCAAAATTGCAGGATCAATAGATCCGAAAACATCATCAAGGTTAGTAGGTTTCACACCTCCGAGCCTATTGAAATCCCCACTTCGATCAAAAGACGAAGCTGCAAAAGCTGCAGCAGTAGCCAAGTTACAATTCCAACTGGTTGGGGAGGAGAGACTTGACATCTCATCCATCAACTGTTGCTGCTGCCTGCGACGATGACTTTCAAGCCCAAGTAATTCAGCATCTAAATCCATGTCTCTAGCACTCCATGAAGACTTCAACCGGCTACCAGGAAGCTGCAGTGTGGGAGGCATGTGTAGAACATGAAAGATTGGTAATGAGAGAGAGTATTTGTGCAATGATGGGAAGGTATGTGTAAAAACTAAACGGAATAGGCTGAGGTCCGGCGGACGGCTAAGGTGAGGTTGCCGTCCGCCGGTGAAGCGAAAAATTATAGGTTCTAAACCTGCTCTGATACCATGTTGAAATTGATGTATTATTGATTGATATATATTGATTGATATAATGTTATATTTATTACAATGATTCATGATTCCTATATATAGAAGAGGGTGAGTGTGTAGTAGGTAAGGAGTAGGTGAAGTGGAGGTGGTAGTGGTGTAGTGGGTTAGGTTTAGTGGAGTAGGTTTAAGTGGGTGAAGTAGGTGGAGAGTAGGTGGATTTTAACACCACCCATGTAGTGGGGTGTGAGCTTAATTATGAGATGGGGTGTTCCAAAATTAATGATGTCATTTTTAATAATTTTTTTTGAAATTATTATTATAATAAATTAAAAAAATAAAAATAAAAATAAAAAAGCTAAAAATTGAAGGGTTCAAAATAATTTATTAAGTCGTAATAGCAGTAATCTTTTAAAAAATATAAAATCACTAATCATTCCAATAATCACTCCCTAATCGTCTTTTATTATTGGTCATTATTACCAAATCAACTCTAGCGGCCCATCGATGGGAGTTATTGTTGTGGTGGTGGTGATGATGTTAGCAATGTAGGAGTTGGGACTTAAAATGTTTATGATGTTTATGAAAGAAAGAGAGAGTCCCTTCCTCTTGTGTATTTTTACAGATATAATATTACATTTTATAAACATAATTATTTTGTGTTTGGATGTGTATATGCACATATATAACTTGCACGTACAATGAATTCACAAGTTTTATTAGATAATATGTTATTAACGTGCGCTTGTGTTTGGAACAAAAAAAAAAAAAAACTTGGTGCATTTAGGGGGTGTTTGGCAACTTAGGTTTAGGTTATTTTTTGGTTAAAATTCATAAAAAGATAAAATAGATTAAAATAATTAATAAGATAAAATGTTACATTAAACCTGTAATCATTTCATTTTTTCTCTCACAAATATCATATTTAACTTAAAAAATTCAATTATCTTTCCAAATATAAAAATTTTAGCCTACTAAAATAGCCCACTAAAATAACAATTTTCCAAACACAACTATATCATAAATGACTAGGGCTGGCTTTGGCCCAAAGCTACCACTTTGGACTTTCGAAAATTGTTTGAAAAAAAGGATTCCAAAATATTTTTGGCTATTTTATTAGTTGACAAAAAGAAAATTATGTATATGTACAAGGAATTCAGAAGTTTTATTACGTGATATTGTTGGCTTATTTTTCCTACGAAGGAAAATATTATAAATGCGAGCGTGCCAACAAGGATTGAAAAATCCTTACAGATTAAATTCAAGCACATTATCAAGCGATTGCGTTGACGGTTCTTTTGCCTCAACAAAGAGGACTTCAAAATTGCCAAGTGTAAAGAAAATAAAAATTAAAAGAAGAATGAGGAACGGAGAAAGACGATTGAGTGAACAATCAAAGTAATAATTACTTACCTCTACTCCTATGCTTCGAAAAGGAAGTGCATAAAATGCTTCGAAATAGAAATGCTGAAAATAAATGCTTCGAAATATAAATTTATGTTAAACTACTCCTAAAATAAGGAAAATGACAAGAAATATTGAAATCAATTGTCTTTGATTATGAATTCTGAATCTTTTACAATGTAGTCATTAATGGCTATTTATAGAGGAAAAAATACAGTAATAACTACTTAGTAACTACCCATTTCTTCCATCTTTATTCTTGTCTTGCCATGTGTCCTTCCACTCATCCACTTTGTCCTTCATATTCTCCATCATCTCTATAACTTCTTTTAATTTCCAAATGAATAAGAAGATGCCACGTGTCTTGAAAATAATAATAATAATAATATTTTATGGTGCCAACATTACCCCCCGCGGCCCTTAAAAATGATATTTACTTGAATTTTTGAAGGGCCGAACCAAGCACATGACTAATCTAAGCAATAAAATGCTTCGAATAATATCAACAAATTTCTTTGAATGATATAATAGTACCAATAAAGTACTTCGAATGATATAATAGCACTAATAAAGTGCTTCGAATAAGTAATAGCACCAATAAAGTACTTCGAATGATATAATAGCACTAATAAAGTGCTTCGAATAAGTATGAAATTATGACTAAATGATCAATAACAAGCTTCGAATGTGGTATAAAAGACCAAATTCATCGTTCGAAGGTCTTGCGGCACAGTTTTGAAGGAACAACATCACCCCTCGAAGGTTGGAAGCATTGATGTAGGATGATGATACTTTCAATGAAATTTCAAGGTTAGGCTTGATGCTTCAAATGTATCTTCGAAGCTTTATACAGTTTCGAAGGTGAAGTAATCAACCTTTGAAACAACTCTTGATGCTTCGAACGTATCTTCAAAGCTTTATACAGCTTCGAAGGTGAAGTAATCAACCTTCGAAACAACTCTTGATGTTTCGAATGTATCTTCAATGCTTTGATTGTGTACATACAAATAACTAGCCATCAATTTGAAAAGATAAGCCATTCTCAACCACTTATTTAAATGCATAGGCTTTTCCTAACCAAGTTCATGCATTTTAAATGGTCATCCCTTGTTCTTAGTGCTTCGAACTCATAAGAACAATTTGTTAATTTTATTAGCCACATCATCAGAATTATATTTTGGTGTGATCCACAAATCCAAAATGGATTTCGAACAAAAAAAGTCATGGTATAGTGTGACCATGAAAATTCATACTTTTTGACATTTTGAAAAATGTCAAAAAATTTGAATTCATGAACAGTGGCTTGTTCATTATTTTTGACCATGTTTGTTTTAAAAACATAACTTTTGCCGAATAGATTTTCATAATTATTTGGCAAAGTGGGTTGTTTTTCCATGTTAGCCATTAATGGCTTATGAAAATCACCCATAGATATGTTATTTTCATGACTTGACTTTCCAAAAATTGGTTTTGAGACCCCCCGAGCCATGCATGGAACATCATTCTTAGCCAAATTTGGCTCAAGAACATGCTCTTTCGTTATATTAATTTCATAATTTGGCTGTTTAAAAACGGACTCTTGAACCCTCCGAGCCATTGATGAAATTAACTCTTTGCTTTTGCTATTTTTAACCATGGAAAAATTCTGAAAAATTCACCAATTCCGGCCATTAAGGCCTCAGTTAAAGACTTGGTAGTGAGAGTTGATAACTCATCATTCCATTGGCGAATTTCCATATCAAGTTGATGAATTTCTCCAATTAAATGGTGGATTTTTTCTTTCACCAAATAATATTGTAAGGGATTAAAATTTATTTCATCAAGAAAATGGATCTCTTCTTGAAGATCCAAAATTTCTTGTTTACGCCAATAAATTTTATCTAAGCTATTTGAAATGAACAAATCCAATTCATTTTCCATTTATTACACTTGACGTTCCGCTGGGCGTGCCAAAAATTGTTGGCTTATTTTTCCTACGAAGGAAAATATCATAAATGCAAGCGTGCCCGCAAGGAATGAAAAATCCTTACAGATTAAATTCAAGCCAATTATCAAGCGATTGCACTGACGGTTCTTTTGCCTCAACAAAGAGGACTTCAAAATTGCCAAATTAAAAGAAGAATGAGGAACAGAGAAAGATGATTGAGTGAACAATCAAAGTAATAATTACTTACCTCTACTCCTATGCTTCGAAAAGGAAGTGCATAAAATGCTTCGACATGGAAATGCTGAAAATAAATGCTTCGAAATATAAATTTATGTTAAACTACTCCTAAGATAAGGAAAATGACAAGAAATATTGAAATCAAGTGTCTTTGATTTGAGTTCCGGGGCTTACAATGTAGCCATTAATGGCTATTTATAGAGGAAAAAATACAGTAATAACTACTTAGTAACTACCCATTTCTTCCATCTTCATTCTTGTCTTGCCATGTGTCCTTCCACTCGTCCACTTTGTCCTTCATATTCTCCATCATCTCTTTAACTTCTTTTAACTTCCAAATGAATAAGAGGATGCCATGTGTCTTGAAAATAATAATAATAATAATATTTTATGGTGCCAACAAATATATTATCAATATGCGCTTCTGTTGGGAAACAAACATAATTTGGTGCATTTAATAGACTATAGCCTCTTTTAGATACTTGGCTTTTAGTCACATTTGTGCGTTTATAATAAAAGTCAATAATTGGCTTTTTTTATATTTAAAGACATTTGAGAAATTGGTTTTCAGCCACTGGTAAAATTATAATTCTACCCCTCATAGGTCAAAATGTGTTGGGGAATTTTTAAAATGGGTTTTCAAATTTATAGTTTAGTTTTTGGTGTTTTAAAAACCTTCCATGTTTTTCTTTGGAAAGCATGAAATAAGCTTGGGAATTGTGAGGTGAAAGTTAGTGTGCATGCATCCACACACCATCCACACACACGCGCGGGTAGCGTGGGCAGTGGGCTGTATGGCGTTTGATGGCGCACTTTACACTTTACACGGGCGCATCGGCGCCATGAGAACGCTTTCTTATTTGCATCGGACAGGTTGTATCAATGGCGTGGCATGAGCAACATGGAATACAGTCAGCTCCACGACGCATCAGCGCCATGAGGGTGCTTTCCTATTTGCATCGAATAGGTTGGATCGATGACGTGGCATGGGTGACGTAGAATACAGTCAGCTCCACGTAGCAGTGACATGTCACCTGTTGGCGATAAGTCAACCAACCGATCAAATGGTTGTGTATTTGATCTGGAGTGGGTTGACCATAGCCGTTGATTGAAGATGCACGTGATCGTACGAACGAGATGACACCCGATCGGGATCAGGTGTGATTAGTCAAGGCGTCTGTTCGGTGTGAGAATTATTTGCACCGTAGATCGTTGATCCAACGGTCAGATCTGATCGAATGCGATCAAGGGATATGACCATTCAATCAAGTGCATCAATGCCTATAAATAGATTGCGAAATCAGCCATTTCAT